TTGTAGAGATGAGGTCTCGCTGCCCAGGCGGATCTTGAACCTGCGGGCTCAGGCAATCCATTCACCTCAGCCTCCCAGAGGCATGGGATTACAGGCTGAGCCACGGAGCCTGGCTGACCACTTCTTAAAATGACTTGGGGGGATGGGGTCTGGGAGACAGGCCACTCCCACAAGGAAGCGCTTGTCAACCCAACAGAGTTCTCAAAACAATTAGGCCATCTCTCTTTCTCTCACTTATGCCCAACTTCTGGAATCAGGACACCACAAGTCTTAAATTTAGAGGAAATGTTAGCGATATATCATATGTGAGGGATCGTGCAGCTAGAAAACCTTAAATGTAATTTGTTTCAACTATTCATATAAATGAGAATTCCTATCAACTCCAGGCTGTCTCTGAAAGGTAATTCACAGCACATTTTTCTTTGATGGGGAGTGTTTTACACCCATCAATTGTAATAATTATTACCATTTCTTGCTGAGATTACGCGTACACTTGAGAAACACTTCTAAGGTACCAAAAGGAATAAAATCTCTCTCCTTTTCTTAAGTTTCCAGTTCCTCAAGAGGAGGCTTTCTGCTAGTTACCAGATCCTGAGAATCCTTTCACAGATATTCTGGCCATCTACATTCCCAGCTATAAAATACAAATGAAGTCATTCTACATTAAAGGCTCTCAATCCTAGGGCACATTAGAAATATCTGAGGACATTTCAAAACTAAGATTGCCCAAGTCCTTGATATTTTGATTTACTCAACTTGAGGTGGGACATAATTTTTTTAAGCTTTCTAGATGATTCTAATGGGCAGCCAGGACTGAGAACCATTGTTCTTAGAAAATAAAAAATGGGGCCGGGCTTGGTGGCTCAGCCTGTAATCCCAGCACTTTGGGAGGCCGAGGTGAGTGGATTGCCTGAGCCCGTGGGTTCGAGACCCACCTGGGCAACTTGGCGAGACCTTCTCTCTACAATAAAATAAAAAATTAGCCAGGTGTGGTAGCGCGCGCCTGTAGTTCCAGCTACTCGGAAGGCTGAGGCAGAAGGATCGCCAGAGCCCAGTAGGTCGAGGCTGCGGTGGCCGGGAGCGTGCCACTGCACTCCAGTCTGGGCAACAGAGG